TTTACAGAATTATAGAGTATAAAAGTTTCTATAAGATTTTGTTGTCAAATTAAGGCACTGTTGTTCAAAGACAGACCAACGGATTGCTGGAAGCCACTTTTGGGGTACCTCAAACCGATCTAACCACACAACGTAATTCAAACTACGTAACGGAATCATGCTTTACGTTTTTGATGCAGAGTTTGGAGTTTACATTTTCACCTTTAAGTCCGGCACCGCTCTCTTATATTACTGTCCTGTGGGGTGTCTGGTGCTGTGCAACGTCATGAGCGTCGGGGTAACCTTAAGGAAGGTGCACCGTCTCCGCCGAGGCAACTCTGTCCTGCGCCGAGAGGAAGACGTCGGGCAGCGTCGCGCACAGGGAAATCCCCCTCCCGCAGCGCACGCACGCACGCGCGGGCGCTCTGCGGCGGATGCCAAAACGTAAGTCGCACCTCCCCAATATTCCGATCGTTTCATGTGTGATTCCCGGTGTCAGTTACTAAGGCCATTAGTCCTTTTGTGTAGTGCATGCTTTTTCATCGGGAGGTGGCCGTGGTCTTCCCCCGCTGGATGGCGACATCCAGCGCCGACCTACTCGTCGGCTAGCGCGATTTCCCCAACCAGGTATCCCCTACCTGCGGGGCATCGCCCCAGCCGGGACGAGCTTTAATCTCCAGACCGGTCTCCCGGCATGTGCGCTTGTATAGTACGTGTAAGTGGTGAGGATAGGACAAGGAAGAGGAAGGTGGAATCGCGCGCGGTCCGTGCTCACGTTTTGTTAGGCTCCGGCATTCGCCTAGTATTGATCGGAGAACCACGGGAAACTACCGATCAGACAAGCCAGCCACTAGAATTCCCCTCTAGACAGCGGCTGAACTCGACCCAGCTGTGTCGAAAATTCTGCCACTGTCGGGAATCCAACCCTAGGACCTCCCGGCCGGAGATACTGCAGCGACATCTTTGTGAGTCTTTCGAGCTTCACTGAAATACATTAAAGTGTATTAAAACAAAATGTTTAACATTTTAAACTTTTTGAACTCTTATCAAATAATTACAAACAGTTAGAAATGAGAGAAAAAAGAATTATACAATTCAGCATATTTCGAAAGAAGTGTAAAGTACATTTCACCAAATAGTCTTCCCAAATTTCTCGTAAGTGATGTCACTACAGTCCCTCTGACCGGAAGGTCCTAGGTTCGAGTCCTGACACGAGCTTGTCAGCTAGATAGAATTCAGTCGCTGTCTGGAGGAGAATTCTAGTGCCTGGCTGGTGACATCGGTAGCTTTGCGTGCTTTCGTGCTTGCGTGCTTTCTCCGATCATCACTAGGCGAATGCCGGAGCAGTATCGTACCGAATGGGCCACTGACCGCGCGCAATCTTATCTTCCTATTCCTTGCCCTACACACACACAAACATGCTCTACACTACCTCACAAGCCGGAAGACCGGGCGAGAGCCTAGAGCTTGTCCCGGATTTTGCCGCCGGATTTTCGCTCCTTCTGTCCCGAAGGACATCTTTCCTATTAGGAGAACGTGCAAAAGCCAGCGACGGAATGATCGATGTTTTCGAGCACGCCAACTGCTATGGCCATTTAGTGATGGCGAAACATCCATATTTCGATACATCACGAAAAGGTTTTTGATGTCGACGAAAACATCGAAGTTTTCAATTTGATGAAACATATCAAAGTAAAATGTTCCGCTTTAACTGTGATACCTAACACGACAATATTAGTTTAAAGTATATTCTGCTTTAAATGTGACTGTCATGTTACTTTTGTAATCAGGTTCTATGGAATAAAAGTTCAAAATGAAGATTAACGATATTAACGCGTAAAAAATAATCAAAAAGGTAATAACACTGGAGAAACTTGCCGTCTGGGACATACATTTTATTTACATAATGATAAATTGTTTTTGAAAACACCGATGATTCTGAAGAGGTATATTGATCTGAAGAAAGCTCCGAGAGCAAAACATGGATGTTCCTTTTCGAAAATATCTGATTTTGAAAAACAGTAATTTTGCCATCCCTTATCCCGTTAGTGTAGGGAATGATTTTATACCAGGAGATGACGATGATATTCCCCCGCTGGGTGGCGAGATCCAACACCACCTAAATCTAGACCTAAAAGTGCTCTTCCTGGATTTGCCAACCATCTCCAGCATAGCAACGCCCATCCGCGATAAGTTTTAAAGTCGCGACCGGTCTCCGAAATGTGTGGCAGTGAAGGGCATGTCAGTGTTAATGAATGTGCGAATGTGTAATTAATCGCACGGCCCTTAGCTCGTTGAGGTACTCCTCTAACATCCCGCTGGCGACGAACGGAGAAACCACGGAAAGCTATCAATCAGAGCCACCTTCCGTTAGAGATTTTCCTTTTCACAACGGCTGAAGTCAGCCTTCCTGCGAAAGCTGTTTTTTTTACCCTCCGTTCGTGCCTGGAATCAATAACTGGAGTGGGGATGCCCACGAGACTGCGCATTTCCCTGTTGTGAACGGCGATTGTTCGAATCTGCCGCGCGCGCCAGAGACAATGACCGTTAGGGGAAGCGGCGGCTCGGCCGAGATACGCGCCATTGGAGGCGCGAGCTTATTCCAGCGCTGCGCCCGCTATATATACTGCGATTTTCGCAACTCTGCCCCTGACAGGTATCAGCGCTTGACAGTTCCGTTCAATCGGGAGCTTGAACGTCATCATAATGACGTCACTATGGTGACGTTCAAGCTTCCGACTGGATGAAACCGTCAACAGCTGATACTTGTCAGGGACAGAGTATGATAAACGGCAGCATAACGGGCCAGCCAGCGCCAGAAACGCAGTTCCGCCAGTACAGTGAGTAGGGTACAGGGAGACCGTTCCCAGCAGCGTAGAGTACGGTAGCCTACGCCGTGCATGGGAGACCAGACGGAACCCCGTCGGCACTGCGACTCAACGGAAAGGGGGCTGTACATAAAACTGGCAACTATTTATGCGCCCGCCATGTGCGAGATGCGTAGTGGAATTCAATTTCTTTACGCAGATTGATAACTTGATAGCGGATGGTGCTGTGCGGGATTGGCGCAGGAAGCTTAAAGGAGGACGAGTGGATGTTCACGATGAAGGAGGAAAGATGGCAAGTCTATCACATCAAAAGACATAGGTCAACGCATTGACAAAAAGGTCCGCAAAATACGTAGATTTACCATTCATTCGTGACGATGCCCACGTTCACAGCGCTGCTGTAACTCGCTGACATCTTGAACAATTTCGATGGGAAGTTTTGAACACCCGTGGTGTAGCCCCAATTCAGCACCAAGCGATTTCCATCTCTTTCCTCAACTGAAAAAGTGGCTAGGAGAACTTTAAAACATTGGCAAGGACCATCTCAACTCACTGGTGGCAACATTCTCTGCAGAGGGGACTGGGAAGCTCGTCCATAGATATGGCAAATCGAAAAAAATTATTGCGAGAAATCATGTTCTTCCACGCAATATATATGTAACGCACCTAATTTTCTACTATTTGTAATATTAAGTTGATTAATATTAAGTTAAACAATTTGAAGGGATTTGCGGAGTATCGAACTGCCTCTGTCTCTCAAATTACTTTTAAAGACTGACACCGCCTCAACCGGCGGTGGAAATTAGAATTTTCCATTTCAAAATAATTTCCAGTTAACGCACTAATACTTACAATTTGAACTTACTTGCACAAAACTCACAAAATGAACATGACCGTATTTGAATCTCTTTTTGATGAACCCATTCCATTAAGAAATAAATGTATCTTCATAATTGTTGTTGTAGGAAGCCGCGAAACAAATTTTGAACTTTTTCAATTTTCGAAATATTAGGATTTTCAACCTACATGGTTCCTACAGTATTCTCTTAAATGTTTCTCCGACTATCCTCCACCAAAATAGCATCAAATATAATGCCGTCGTTTTTGAGAAAAAATGTTTAAACAAAAATTAAAACTGCCTGTATTTCACACAAAATTGCACAACAAATATTCAAATTTGCGAAAAGTTGTAAATGATCTTATTTCAAAATCTATTTTTAAGGAATATATTTTATTTAGGTAAAAATCCCAATATTTAATAGTTTAGTTGAAGAAAGACGCCGGATTTTTGAAAAATGTTTAGCGATTTTTGAAAAAACTTGTGTGATAAATGAAAATGTTACCTGCACCAATCTCTAAAACGTCCATTACAACATCCAGCCCCAAAATGTAATAAAAAATGATCGAGCCAATTTTTTTTGCAAATTTTGCAAATGTCCTAGGGGTTTCATGTAAAGTACCCCCCAAAATTAAAATATCCGTTTCAAATTGAAATGGTCCCAACAACAGGAACATTGATTGGGGAAAATCAATTTTGAAGAAAATCTGAACACTTTAGTAAATGTACAGCTTGTCCTCCCCTCTTAAAATGTTACTATTCTAAATGTATGTAAATTCAGTGGGTTGGGCGCGGAAGAGCAGGCCTATGCCGAGCTCGCCATTTAATAAGAAATTTATTGTATTTTATTATTATTTTATTATTATTATTATTATTATTTAGGTTCTTGCTTTGGCCACAGAGAGACAGACTTTTGCCGTCAATCGATTTTTCGGTATCAAGGACCCAGAAGACATGGATTCTGGCTACATCACATGTTAGAGCACTTTTTTCCAAATTTAGCGTCTGGATTTATCCACTTCTCATTTTCAGGACCCTGTAATTTCTTTATTTTGAAAATTCGCCGTTTTTTCGCGCAGCATTGCATAACTCTATCGTGCTAGCGGTAGTGACGAAGTAAAATTGGGTACGGAAAAATGTATTTTGTACATAAGAATCTGTGAATAAAGATAATAAAATGACATACAAACTTTGAAACAAATCGTTCACTTCATATTTAAGAGACTGACTTTTTGTCATCCCTCCTCAAACCTTGCCCTTTAAGTTAAGGTCTTGCTGAAGGATTCGGATCCATCTCTGTTTCAAACAAAGGGACAGACTTGTATAATGCTTGAATAATATCTTTTGTTGCAGAGTAAAACTGTATCTGAAAATGCTGCTTATGACCGGCTTCGTAGAAATTGTGTCCGAAATCGTCATGTGGAGCACGACGAAGTATTTGAGGAGCGTCGGTTTCCAGTTTCGCGACTACTATTTCCCGTACCGCTGCACCGGCTTCGTGGCGGACTTCGTGCGGGCGGCGTGCGTCGCCTGGCTGGCCAGCCCCGAGGGCGGTTACTTGCGCCTCGTCCGGCAGCGGCTGCGCGCAGCCAACCAATAGGAGAGTTCCTTCTTTCCACCTATTTAACCTTTCTTGGATAGCAATTGCATACTTTCGCGCTGTGTGTTTCCGAGTTCTCTCCGTGTACAGAGCTAAGTTAGGCTCTTCCCAAATTATACTTACGCTCTATCGGCAAAAACCGGGAGAGATGGTTCAGGGCGTCAACTGATGTCACTGCAGTTCCTCTGACCGGAAGGTTCTACGTTCGAGTCCCGACGGTGACAGGAATTTCGATACTAGCTTGTCAGCTAGGTCAAATTCAGTCGCTGTCTAGAGGAGAATTTTAGCGGCCGGCTTCTCTGATCGGTGCTCTCTCCAATCCATACCAGGCGAATGCCGGATGCCTAACGAACGGGCCAAGAACCTTTCGAGATCTTTCCTACCTCTTCCTTGTTCTATGCTCACCCCTTACACTCTTCTTACATTAACATGCACTGCACTACCATACATGCCGGGAGACCGGCCGGGACCTTAGAGTTTGTCTCGATGGTGGGAGATACCTGGTTAGGGAAAACCCCACTAGCCGATGGTAGGTCGGCGCCGAATATTGCCGTACAACGGGGGAAGTCACCTCCCGAGGAAGAAACATTCACTATACCTACAGGACTAATGAGCCTAGAGACGGTACACCGTCGTCTGTAACTGATGGGTGCCGAACTACCCCTTCATTGGTTCTGCGTTTCTGCTTCGCAATCAACCAGGCCAAGGTTTTGTCGAGTCACCCCGACGACCGACTAGCGCGCCCCTCTCGGGCCCTCTTCGCGGCGGCCCTGCAGAGAAGCCCCCGATCCACACTCACAACCTAACTTAAGGAAGCTCCTCACATGCGATATTCAGCGAATCCAGAGTAGTGGGACTGGACGAGCTGCTAGGCGAATGCCGAATGTGTGGAGCCGTCTTTAGACCCACGTAGTGTCCTTGATAGGCCAATACAAACCTGAACTGGGAATATCCTTTATTAGATAGAACTGTAAATAGTAATAAATGATAGTAATCTTAATGTTCTTAATAAATTTACTTTTAAATTCTCATGTTGTGTTACCTTCAGAATAATTGTAAATACTAGGATAGGTATATGCAAATGTAAATTAGCCAAAAGGCCAGTCTTGCAATTTACTGGATTAATTATAAATGTTCTTTCCGACTAGCCTTGTAAATAAAAGATTTCAACTCACACCTAATTTTAATTTTTTAGTTTTGTCAATAGTACGTAAGCTTCCTTTCTGTAATTCGAACCCAGCAATCTTGATGTAGTCCCTGTAGAATCGCATAGCAATAAAAGTTGTAAAGTAGACTATCTAGGCGCATGATCCCGCCATCCATTCAGTGAGGTATACCACCCAAATGCCCAAATTAGTTCCTTAGAATGAGCAAGTAGATCTACCCTGAAAACGATGTCAAGGTGGGTGAAGGAGGAGAGGGGTGACGCCCAGATGCCTCGGACCCTCGCCCAGAACGGCTGTCGCTAGCATGCCGCGGGTATAAAAGTTTGATAAATAAACAATAATGTATAGATCTAATTATATCAACTGTGTATTATCAAGGAATTAGGGTCCATAGATACGCATTTATAAACGGACAAATTTTGAAAAAAAAAATTCATGAAACTTATTCAGCAATAGTTTTAGGGATTGTTATCCCTTGCCTGTCAGTGTCTACATGATGATGGGAACATTTACTGCTTGAACATAAAACTTTTGCTGAATAAGATTCATGAAATTATTATTCCAATATTTGTTGGTCTGCATCTATGGACCCTAATTTTTTCATAATATAAAATTAGAAAGTCGTTTCTAGACTTTTTGTCCATATTTTATTTTATACAGTCATATATTGTACATATTGAAAACCAAAAAACTAATAAAAAAGCATCATTTACATTGAAATTTTATTGCAATGTTCTGTTAATTTTTGAAACTTTCGTCATCCGTCAACTTTTCGAGGCGAAGTTTTCATCCTCTTCAGAAGTCTAATTTGAATATGAACAGGTTATTATAAACTAAATTAAAATTGTTTAACTTTTAAGATTGCAGTAAAAAATGAAATATACCAGGTTATAATATAGAATAAATATGTACCAGGTTCAAATGAACTCACCTTAATAATTTCTGTCATTCTTTCTTGAGATCTATTTTCAATTTCTGTAAAATTACTACATCTTACAAGGAAGCAAATCAGTAACAACTTTTATGTCTATACTTTTACGACCAGTAGCGCTGATCACTTTTCTGTAATTGCACTCTAAAGTACTTATGAATGAGTGTCAACCTATTTACCTGCTGGTCTAATCTAAAGCTTAAAGAGTTTCATTTTAAAAATCTTTCCAAATTCATACACTATCAACCTCTGTTAAGACGCTGGTTTTTGCTGAAAATCTAGAAAATCCAAGAATTAATTTGTAATCATCTGATTCGATGCTTTCCAATCTATCCTATCTACTCTGCATGTTTCCGTCTCACTATTCATTGCTGTGAAAACGCGATTTAATCATTAGGTTTTAGATGCGAAGTAGAACTAAGATATGCTACTAAGATGGTGCTAGGGGTTTGTTTATATATTTTTGTGTTCAAAATAAAGTTAATATTTATTATTTTGACTTCATTTAATGCTGCTCTTTTGCTTTCATTTCACATGCTTACTTTTTCCTGGAATAGAAAGTTATGTAAAGCGGCGAATTTTTGGCAGAGAAACTCTTATTGCAGACCCTTGGTAACGAAAAAGTGGATTAATTCGATTGCTAAATTTAGGAATAAACACCAGGTGTAGCCAGAATTTTTTTTTGTGGTCCTGGGTACCGAAAAATCGATTGACGACAAAACTTGTGTTCATTACTTCTAGGCTGTCCGGTTGACGCCGCGTCGTTGGCAGATAGGCAGACGGCCTATCTGCCAACGACGCGGCGTCAACCGGACAGCCTAGAAGTAATGGACTCGAGCCGCGGAAGCCTACGTGTACAAAACTTGTGTTCGTCCGTCTGTGACGCTAGCGGCTAAACTCTTCAGCCAATTTTCCCCAAAACTGATATTCCCCCATCGATCAGCCTGATGTCACGGTCCATTGAATTTGAAACCGATATTTTACTTTTAGGGGGTACTTTGTATGAAATCCCTAGGACATTTTCTAAATTTTAAACAAATGGCTCCTTTGTTTTTGAAAAAAATGCTGTTAGATAGTGTAAATGGCGTTTATGAGAATGGTGCATGTCTCATTTTCGTTAAAAACTCTGATTTTTCGAAAATTACAAACAATCATAATTTTGGAGGTGATATGTAGCAGCGGACTGGGATGTGTAGGGCATAACCGATAGACATATCAAACATCCGTCATCCTTCTTTAACTCTTTTAACTCGAACTTTTCCGATTCCGCCATTTGTAATTTTAAAATGAGCAAATGGACTCGTTTCCTGAAACTGCATATTTTCAGGGGTTGTGACCATTGGCATTGTGGTGAGTTATTGTTGGCATTTACAATGAAATGATTATATGAGTCGTCATTGCCAACAATATTGTCAACACATTGCCAACAACAGTTTGTGTAATATAATAGTTGTATATTATAATAGCAGTTTTTGATGGCTTAGCCATCATTATCAGTTTTCTATTGTTTAGAAGCCACAAAACGACTACCATGTTCGGGACCGAGTCGTTTTGTGGCTTCCATTGAGTAGAAAACTGATGATGATGGCTAAGCTATCGAAAGCTGCTATTATTATAATAATATTGTTGGCAATGACAACTCATACGATTATTTCGTTGTTACTATTGCTCAGAAATTAGCGAACACATGTTAGGTTAATACATTAAATTGAACTATGAAAAAACGTTACAAAGAGAATTAGTTGGTAAAGCTTGTTATGATATAAAAAAGGATAAATTATTAACTTGAAAAATCACAGCAAAACGTAAGCTCAATGTGCCATGTTTGATCATTATGAAATTGTGAATTTATGAATGGCGTAATTAAAACTGAATACTTGTAAATAGTATAAGCACGTAATGCTGTAAGAGAAAAAGCTACGTCGACGTCTGGAAGTGGCGTCGCATTGCAAGGCGCGAGGACGAAGCTCAGCGAGGGAATGCAGGCACTGGGAGACCCCACTCGTTCCTCTGCGAGCAGTCGCGCAGTACAGACCTAAACGCACTGCGCTGTGGCGCGCCTCGTACCTGTGTTCTGTGTTCCAGTGAATTTTATAGTGCTACTGTAACAGTTACCAACAACTCTCGCGAATACTGTGGGGGTTAATATTCAAACAAATTAGTGCAACATTTTCAACCGACAACGCTGGCATTCGTCAGTGTATTGTAGATGCCCTAGCTCAGGTCTACCCGACCGAGGGCGAAATGGAGGTCGCTCACCAAGAAAGCGACCCCCGTGAAACATCATTCCTACAAATTCCAGAGCATCTACTAAAACATCAACCAGATCAGCGGTTACCTCTATCCCATCGCATCAGCCTCACATGTTAAGTGGAATAATGCTGCATGACAATGTTAATGGTAAACTAAATAAGGTCAGTAACTATCTGCCGGCCAACGGCACTGCGAGTTCTTCAAAGTGCAACGGTAATACCAGCGCAAGTGCAGAACCCATTTCGCAAGAACCCACTGGTAAGGGAGGCCAACCAAACAAAAAAATCGTGTTTAGCCGTTCTCAAGATTATGGTTTTCTTCTTAAAAATAGATTTGACCCTTTAAGGGACCTTCAAGAAAGTGAATCCAGTTTCGTAGCCCGAAACTTCACCGTACCCAAAAACTCCGAAAATATTAGAATCCCTCCCATCCATGTTAAAAATATTGAAAACATTATAGAACTAAACAATGAAATTAAAACCCACATCACTAATCAGTTTACATCAACCTTCAATAACAGCAAAGCAAAAATTAACTTTATCCAAATAGATGTCAGAAAAGCTATTAAATATTTTACAAGCACTAATAAACAGATCCACATTTACAAGGACCTGTCCAACAAAACGTTCTCTGTGGTCTACGAAAACATTCATCCGTCTATTTTTCAAGAGGGAATATACTAAGATCTAAAAGCTAAACATTCTTCCTTCATTAGTGTTACCAAATTACACACGAACAATTTACCAATCCCAGAGGTGGTCTTTTCTTAACAAAGTTAAGAAACTAATTTCTTACAAAAAAATGTAGCGCAGGTAGAGTTCAAACAATGGAATGATAAAGAAAGGAAATATATCAAAATATTTAAATAAAACCCATTATTATGTATATTATTCTAATAATTTATAAACAAATAAAATTCAACCCTTGCAAGCTCATCGTCCAAAATGAACTGTAGAAATACCACAATAAAAAATAAAACAAATACATTTTCGAAAAATTGTACATAATCTTATTTCAAAATATATCTTCAAGGAATAGATTTCATTAAGAAACAAAATTTCTATCATAATTGTAATTGTAGCAAAATGCTGAAAAAATTTTGAATTTTAGAAATTTTCAAAAAATCGAAGTATTTAGCGAAAATGAGACCTGCATCATTCTTTTAAACATTCTTC